ACATGTAATCCATCACACTACATGTACATGTACATGTACATGTACATGTACATGTACAATATACATTTGTACAAGTATCTTTCTCTCCTAACCTAATATTTCCGAGACTATTGGCTACCTTACGAGGCAGACAGACTACATTGTCCCTACATACCGGAACTATCTCAACCGAGAAGGTGAATTTGTAATTATAAGTATTGCTATGAACATCGTGAGATATTAATTCCTGCGACGTCTTGTACCTACATGTACATGTACATGTATATAAAAAAGTCGTAAAATTTTTGCTTGTTGTTACTTTGATGGGACCACGCTCATTATGAATTCCACCATTTTCCTAGCGTCTTGTTTTTGAGCGTAATAGAAGTCAAGGCCTCCTTTTATTTCTTTTATTCGGAGGACGTTTGAGTGAATGTTGTGCTTAAGGATCAACTGCTCGAGGTAAAGAAACGTCTTCTTATGTGTCGTCTAAAAAATTACGATAAATTAACAAGTACAATGTAATAACGATAAGAGACTCGTGTTTTTTTTTACCTTTTGTCTAACTTGAACGACGGCTTTCCAGTAATCTTTAGCTTCTCTTCTCTGACAGTCCTCACACATTTGATGATGAACAATGAACTCAACGACAAAAACCTGCTGTAATAGAGTCCCTGCTAGCACCTACAGACATAGGGCCAAACCCACCGATTAATAATTATAGTATTTGATCTTATAAAAATGTGATTAGAAATTTAGAATATGCTCAAAAAACCCATTAGTTCCATTGTCACAAAATCCGTGACAAGCAAAAAACCCATTAGTTCCATTGTCACGAAATCCGTGACAAGCAAAAAACCCATTAGTTCCATTGTCACGAAATCCATGACAAGCAAAAACCCATTAGTTCCATTGTCACATCTTAAAACACTGGTCAAGACTACAAAAAACCCTCTTTTTCAAACGCTCATAACTTGCAATACTTCAAGTATGATCAAACTTTTGTATGTACAATGTATATTATACATGTACATTAACTACTCATCCACTCACTTCCTTCTGTATGGTTAGTTTTATCTTGAGTCTCTTCGAGTGAGGCTCTGTCCATATGAATCCTGCATCTACCAGGTGTACCTTACCAAGACCCTTCAGTTTCTTGAGACAGAGAGCGAGCAACTCACGGGACTCTAGACTACAAGAAACCCAACCAGATGGAGGCTGCAAATACCTGCAATAATAATAATGATAAAAATAATTATTATAATATCTATTATTTGTAATCTCAGTTCACCTTTCACAACTCCTACAGAAGTATACAGTAGATTGCTTTGGTATTCCTTCAGTGATATCGACCTAAAGAGCGGGCAATGAGAGACTATAAAGTGGTTTGTACCCGACCTGGGTCCTTAGGCAAGCCACGCACATATTGGCTGGATTTGGCTCAATCATTGTACCACACTGACAGCAAAGGCTAGGGAAAGAGACTATAGATTGATAGGATAGAGCGGTAGGCCTTACATTCGCTGCATACTGTCCTCTTCTCTACTCAAAGGAGGAGAAATGTACTCCATTGTGAATGTACCACGAGTATAAGTGTAATTATGGGCGGGGCTTCTTAAAAATCTAATTTTGATCATAGATATTAGAGTAACTCTAATATCTATGTTTTGATTAGCAGGATGTCCTTATATTGCACAATGCATAGTTGCATACATATACCGGTACATGTATTGGATAAAATGTATAGCTAAATGCACACATGAATTAATGCAGGTAATTTGTGGTGCAAGAATAAATTACTAAAAGTCTATTGTGGGTTGATAGGGTTGTCCTGTTAATCATATTCATCATTCCATGAAAATACAAATACAATATCAGAAATACATGTATAGACACTATAAAAAAGGACAATAGTAGGTTCCACTGTACAGGAATCAGTATAATATTACAAGTCCAAATAGAGTATTTAGTATTATAAATGCATTCACCCTTTGATCAAGGTGGCTGCAAACTCTAAGCTAGGTTAATGATGTAAGTGTGCCTTTGATCTTTTTCTGAAAATAGGACTGACAGGATCTTAATTGAAGAATAATATGGAATACTAACTGGCTAAGAAAATATTAATGTAAAAGTTTGATACTTGTACAGTACCTCTATCTAGTTGGCATAAATTAATTTAATTTCATCCAGTACTAATAATGTATTAATAAATAGCATTGTTCACTTCAAAAAAAAAACAACTTCAATAAATCAAATTTAATCAATATGTAGTTCATTACTGTCAATACATAGCTCCTAGTGAGGGGCCTAGAGGCAGGAATTAAGACTAATCAATACAGCAATATTCTGTTGTTGCTATAACTATCATTAACATACATTACTCCATTATTATCAAACGTTATTCCTCTTGGGTTACTAAACTGGTCAATATTATTACCTCGACCTCCAAAGCAACGAATGAAAATCACCTCCAAAAGTGAATATTGAGATACGATGATTCCCCTCCTCTGTTATATAAAGGAGACTGCCAGTACCAACAGCAATACCATAAGGGCTCTGCAACTGACCAGGAGCAGATCCTTGAGTGCCAAAAGTGGACAGATATTTCCCAAGATAAGTGAACTTTTGAATACGATGATTATAATTATCAGTGACGTACAGAAACTCCTCACCATCAATGACTGCAATTGCAACACCACTGGCATCACTAAACTTTCCATTATAACCAATAAAGGAACGAATGAATCTTAGATCAGAAGACAAAATGTGAACACTATCCTCATCAGCAATGTATATGTAGCCAGTTATAGATGAAACGACAGCACAACTAGGATCTCTGATGAAGTTAATAGAATTGGTCATCTTCCTAACTAATTCTCCTTTTAATGTCAAAATTTCAACAAATCGTTTTGCTATGACAATGATATCATTTTTGGATGACACACAAACAAATTGATCTACATCGTAAGATTTTATGACAGAAGCTGTTTCTGGTATAATATTATCCTGCGAATTAAAACACTTAATAAAATACGAGTGATTTTTATCAATACACTGGTGTTCAGTAAAAATAATAAGACCATCATTACTAACAGCAACACTAGATACTGACTTGAAACCATATATAGCACGAGCAGGAGCTATGGTATCAAAGTGAGGATTGAATGGAACCATCAGTGATGCAGACTCAAGCTGTACATCATAAATATGAACTGATAAACTATGAGCACCACTAGCCAATGGACAGCAATCAACTTTATATATTCCAGGGGCACTAGTGGTTGTAATCTTATACTTATCTTTATGTTGCTCCTTTTCTCTGATCATTGGAATTAACCGACACTTGATTGAAGAGACTGGAATGACGACAGAAGCAGGTAATTGAATCAACAAAGAGAATGAGAGCAACATTGTATCAGTACAAGTAACTTTATTTACTTTCACGACACACTCCTGCAGGGCAGTACAAGAGATAGCAGCTCCATAATAGTTTGTCAAAACAGCATTTGAATCTTGCCTAAGTAGAAGACGATTTAGTTCCATTAGTAGAAGTTCTACTTCATTATCATTATGAACACTTTCAATGGATTTTCCTTCTCCAGTCAAAAGGTGCAGCAACTTATCAATATTCCCCCACTGCTCACAATCCCCATGACCTTCTCCACTTTGCTTGGCCTCACTTTCTTTCTTTGAGCTATCAGTCAGTGCATCTTTTACTTCTCTAAACTGTTCAACAACTGATAGTAAATTCTGTACCAAAATGACATCAACTATCTTATGGTTAGAGAACCTACTCCACCTGTTATGTACTTTAATACAGCTAGTGCAAAGTGATTCATGACACATTTTACAGTAACCGACAGCATTGCTCTTGTCACAGTTATCACATTTGATCTCCTTCTTCATTTGACTGTGTATCTCTTTACACTTGACAAGGTAGAAAGCAGTAGGAAGGCCAGCTACTCCTCCATCAGGTACTTGTGTACGACAACGACAAGTAGGACAAAGAAATGAATGGGCATTCTCTAATTTCTCTAGACAAGTCTGACAGAAAGAATGATGACAGGATAACGTCTTAGGGTTGGCAAAGAATTCAAGACAGACGGAACAAGTGAGGAGCTCCTCTAGTATAGAGACTGAAGAGGTTGATTTGACAGCCATTTAAAAATGTGGTAAGAAATAAGGGTGAGGGAAGCCCTTACAATTCATGGTTTACAATCATAGCAACAATAAACAACTTTTGAAAATGTCTAATGGAAGAGACAGTAATTGTCTCTTTCCCTAGTACAGTTACAGAGTAGGCTGCTATGTATTGTATAAATAACTCAAGTATCATAAAGCATGATATACGTGTATGTGCCCGATACATGTATAAATTATATGTTTTACTATGGACAGAATGACTAAAAACAATGAAGCAGTTTTAAATTAAGAATAATAATAACTATTAATAGTAACACAGCAAACAGTCTCACAATTAATAAATGAAACAGGCTGTTGGGATAATAACTATTAGCTACATCAATAATTAATATTAATTTTAATACAGTATTAGTCTCTTGTTGTTAGAGTCATAAACATACATTACTCCATTACTATCGAACGTTATTACATTTGGATAATTGAACTGGTCAATATTAGTACCTTGACCTCCAAAACAACGAACAAAATCACCTCCAAAAGTGAATACTGAGATACGATGATTTCCCCACTCTGTTATATAGAGGAGACTGCCAGTACCAACAGCAATACCACAAGGGTACTGCAACTGGCCAGGATCAGATCCCTGTGTCCCAAAAGTAGACAAATATTCCCCAAGATGAGTGAACTTTTGAATGCGATGATTACCTCTATCAGTGACATACAGAAACTCCTCACCATCAATGACTGCAATAGCAAGACCATTGACTCCCTTGAACTCTTGATTGCCTTCTCCATTTTTGCCAAAGGAACGAATGTATCTTAGATCAGAAGACAAAATATGAACATTATCTACATCAGCAATGTATATGTAGCCAGTTTTAGATGAGGCTACAGCACAACTGGGACTGTTAAGAAAGTCAATAGGATCTGACATTGCTCTAACTAAAGTTCCTTGCAATGTCAAAATTTCAATATGTTGTTTTGATATCACAATGACATCATTCTTGGATGAAAAGTAAACATTGTAAGCTACTTGTACATATAGTACATTGACTACATTCAGCTTCGGTATGTTGTAATTTTTAACAATAGAAGCAAATTGGGGTACAGTAATATTCTGCGAATTAAAATATTGGATATCAAAGTTTTGAACACCTCCTTTTGCTGGCTGAAATTTAGTGAACATAACAATGCCATTATTACCAACAGCAACATTAGAATTTGATTGCAGTCCATATATGGCACGAGCAGGAGCTATGGTATCAAAGTGAGGATTAAATGGAACCATCAGTGATACAGACTCAAGCTGTACATCATAAATATGAACTGATAAACTATGAGCACCACTAGCCAATGGACAGCAATTGACTTGATATATTCCAGGGGCACTAGTGGTCATGATCTTATACTTGTCTTTATGTTGCTCTTTTCCTTTGATCATTGGAATTAACCGACACTTGATTGAAGAGACTGGAATGACGACATGACCAGAAGCAGGTAATTCAATAGACAGAGAGAAAGACAGCAACCTAACATCAGTACAATTAACGTCATTTACTTTGCTGGTACATCGCTGTAGGACAGTGCGAGAAATAGCAATAGCAGCTCCATCATAATCTTTGAACGCACTCAAATCTTGCTTAACCAGAAGACTGTTGAGCTCCATTAGTGATACAAATAGATGGTCTGCTTTGTCATCTGTAGAAAGATCTTCAATGGATTTTCCTTCTTCAGTTAAGAAATGTAACAATTTGTCGATGTTCCATGATTGGTCATAATCCCTCTGACCTTCTCGAAGTGGCTTGGTCTCTCTTCCTTTCTTTATGCTATCAGTCAGTGCGCCCTTTACTTCTCTAAACTTTTCAACAACTGATAGTAAATTCTGTACCAAAATGACATCAACTATCTTATGATTAGAGAACCTACTCCACTTATTGTGTACTTCAACACAATTAGCACAAAGTGATTCGTGACACATTTTACAGTAACCGATAGCATTGCTCTTGCCACAGTTATTACATTTGGTCTCCTTCTTCATTTGACTGTGTATCTCTTTACACTTGACAAGGTAGAAAGCAGTAGGAAGGCCAGCTACTCCTCCATCAGGTAATTGTGTACGACAACGACAAGTAGGACAAAGAAATGAATGGGCATTCTCTTTTGGTAATTCCTCTAGACAAGTTTGGCAGAAAGAATGATGACAGGATAATGTCTTAGGATTAACAAAGAATTCAAGACAGATGGAACAA